CGTGGCCCACACCGATCCAACGGCTCACACCACAGTGAGTACAGTGTGTGAGAGCGTGGCCCACACCGATCCCACCGCTCACACCACAGTGTGTACAGTGTGCGAGAGCGTGGCCCACACCGATCCCACCGCTCACACCACAGTGAGTACAGTGTGTGAGAGCGTGGCCCACACCGATCCCACCGCTCACACCACAGTGAGTACAGTGTGCGAGAGCGTGGCCCACACTGATCCCACCGCTCACACAACAGTGTGTACAGTGTGTGAGAGCGTGGCCCACACTGATCCCACTACTCACACCACAGTGAGTACAGTGTGCGAGAGCGTGGCCCACACTGATCCCACCGCTCACACCACATGACATGATGTCATGGAGATCATTGAGACCACTGGTCTCAATACCATGGTCAGGGGAAAGAGAAAAAGGAAAAGGCTTAAAATGAGACACTGCAAGTACAGAGAAAAAGAGAAGGGGTTGGGAGAGCCAGGGGTAAGGGAAAAAACCTAGCTCTGGGGTCACTAATCCCACCATGACACTGTAGTGGACACAGAGGGCACAAGACGCCCTGTATGACCATGTCTCCCCTTTGTTACAGTACACTGCTCCAGAGGGCTCGGCAGAGGCGGTCTCTCGCTCGTTGCCGGGGGGCAAGAACCCGGTCAGCATGCTGATGGAATACGGGCAGAAATCGGGGCACCCCTGCGAGTTCCTCACCGTTGCCCAGCAGGGGCCTGCTCACGACCCCAGGTAACCCCGAGTCATTCCTGTCCGTCAGCCCCTCTCGGGCTGGGGTGCAGCGTGCATGTGTTAATCCGCGCCCCCCACCCCCTCCTGTCTCTCGCTCAGGTTTACATTCCAGGTGAAAGTGGGGGACCACGTCTTCCCGCCGGCTGTGGCCAACAGCAAGAAGCTGGCGAAGCAGCTGGCGGCGGAGGTGGCCGTGAAGGAGCTGATGGGTGATGGGAAACGCGGGCTGGCACCCAGCAAGGTACGGCGACCCGCCCCCACGCGCACACGCGC